AATTGGTCATCCATTTCTGTGTTGTGACCCATGGAGTATGGGAAGAGAGCAACAGTGAATACCTCTAGTTTCAGTCAAAAGAATTTGTGAGACTTCCATTCACCTCCTTTCCACTTCCTGCTGTGGGAAACATTATAGAACCCCTGCGGTGCAGAAAGAGACAATTCTGCCAACAACCCTCTGAAGGACATCCCACCCAGACCTGTATCCCCCACCCTATCCCTGGAAACTTGCATTACTATGGCCAATCCACCTAACCTGCACATCTTTGGACTGTGGCAGGAAACCCATGCAGACACTCCCGTGTTTGCATGAGTTTCCTTCCACAGTCCAAAGATGTGCAAGTTAAGTGAGTTGGCCATTGTTGCGAAGATGTGTAGAGTGTTTGATGTTTATAAAATGATAGCGGGGGAAGAGTGCATAGTCCCTTTAAAAAATGATGTATTTTTCTAGGCTTGGATATTTTTTTAAAAATGTATGCACGCAACAGCAGATGCACAGAGAGTTCTCAAAATTGAAACATTTGCAATAAAAGGCTGTGTAGTTGGCAACCAGGCAGTACTCTTGTTTTGTTATGAAGGCAACCAGTTTGATTATCAGCCAATTAATTTAAACCAGGCACTTAGAGAGTGAAAACTAAATAAATTTAAATCTGATGGTTTTGACAAACCAGGACCAATCCTATTGTAACAAATTAACAGGTCATCAAGGGTATAAAAGAAGAGGGTATTTGAAAATTGGGGAGAGTCAACAGTCATCTGCCAAGACAGCAGCTCTCAGCTATATATGTAAAAAAAAATCACTGGCTGTCACAGAGTTCTCGAAGCTCTCAGAAAACCATAATCTAAACTAAAGGTTCAGTGGGACTCTAAGCCAATATTTCTGACACAGAATTTGACAGAAAGTGTTCCTGACTGAAGGACAGTGGAGAAGGCAAAGAACACTCCAGAAGACTTATCCTAACTGTAATTTGAGAGATTAAGTTATATTTTTATTAATTTGGTTTATATAGGTGGGAATTGTATCTAATGGAACTGCATACCATTGGAATTTCGTTTTATTTGGGATTAGTTAGTAGTTAAAGGGGAATTGTTTGTTTTGTTAGTAGTTCTGTTAATTTGTTCACGGTTAGAGTTAGATAAATAAATTGTTACTTGTTGACTATAAAGTGAGTGAAAGGATTTCATTTCATTTAACCTTCCTTTATAACAGATTGAGAGGTGAGGCAGGTTATACTACTTTTCGTACTTCCTTTAGCAGATTATGAGGTTTGGTGAGCTTCTCTGGGAGTTTCAGTTTTAGTTATCGGGGTGGGGGCAACCTCAGCTTCATAACAGTATCCAGAGATATGTAGGTTGAGTGGATTAGCCATGGGAAATGCAGGGTTACAGGGATAGGGTAGGATGCTCTTCCCAATGTCGGTGCGGATTCAATGAGCTGAATGTGGCCTGCTTCCACAATGTAGGGATTATATGATCTGAGTTCAGTGCGTAACGGGGGCGGGGGGGCAAATTGACTGTTGGCATTTTATTTTAGGGGGAATGGAAAATGAAAATAGGCCAGTCTTACCAAAACTATATAAGGCACCAATCAGACCACAGCTGGAATACTGTGACTAAACAGTTTCGGTCCCCTAAGGTAAGGTATACTGGCATTGGAGGCTGTCCAAAGAAGGTTCACTAGGTTGATGTCAGGTATGGAGGGATTTTCTTTTGAGGAGAAGTTGAGCAAGTTGGACTTTTACTCGTTAGAGTTTGGGAGAATGAGAGGCAACCTTATTGCAACATTTAAGATTCTTAGGAGACTTGACAGGGTAGACGTGGAAAGGTTGTTTCCTCTTGTGGAAGTGTCTAGGACCAGATATGATCTCAGAATGAGGGGTTTATTCAGAAATAAGGAGGAGTTTCTTCTCTGAGGGTAGTCAATCTGTGGAATTCTTTCTGTGGAGGCTGGGTCATTAAGTATCTTAAGGCTGTGATAGATTTTTAATTAGGAAGGAAATTAAGGGTTACAGGGAAAAGGCAGGAAAGTGGAGTTGAGGACGATCAGATTAGCTACGTCTTGTGGCACAGCACAGCAGACTTGATAGGCTGAATGGCTTACTTCTGCTCCAATGTTTTATTACCTTATCTACTGAGCAGACCTAACGAATGTCTCCGCAGATCATTCATAATCTTGGCCCCGAGCGATATGTTATGACCCTGTCAGAGGCAGGAAGGTCATTTCCAGGAATGTCATCAACCAGAATTAACAAACCAACCACACATTCAATTCTCGAATCCTAAGCGACATTGCAATTACAGAATAAACAACATTCTGAATCAAGGCAGAACCAAGCAGTTAGTCCTGGTATTGAACCAGGATTGACTGATCCTCGGCTGATATTCTGCGCGCACAGGGAATCTTGTATGGTGGTGCTCCTAGGCAGCTGCGGCTCTTGCCCTTCTAGGGGTTAGAGGTCACAGTGCATCCTGTAGATAATACACATTGCTGCCCTGTGCATTGGTGGTGGAAGGAGTGAATGGTGTGAATGTTTAAGGTGGTGGATGGGATGCCAATCAAGCAGGCCACTTATCCTATGTGGTGTCGAGCTTCTTAAGTATTGTTGGAGCTGCTTCATCCAGACAAATGGGGAGTATTCCATCACACTCCTTGCTTGTGCCTTGAAGATGGTGGACAGGCTTGGAGTCAGGATGTGAGTCATTCACTGCATAATTCTTATCCTCTGACCTGCATTTATAGCCACTATAGGGTTCAGGTATATAATTCTTTAAAATTTGCATCACAGGCAGACAGGGCTGTTAAGGTATTTAGCACACTTGCCTTCATTGCTCAGACCTTTGCAGTATAGGAGTTGGGACGTCATGTTGATGTTGTACAGGACGTTGGTGAAGCAGTTCTGGTGGCCCTGTTATAGGAAGGATATTATTAAATTGGAGGGAGTTCGGGAAAGATTTACCAGGACATTGCCAGGAATGGAGAGTCCGAGTTATAAAAAATAGGCTAGGATATTTTTCACTGGAGTGCAAGAGGTGCCCTGAAAGAGGTTTATAAAGTCAAGAGGGGCATAGATAAGATGAATAGCAAGGGTCTTTTCCCCAGGGTGGGGGAGTTCAAAACTCAGGGGCATAGTTTAAAAAGGACATGAGGGGCAACTTTTTTAGAGTAGTTCGTGTGTGGAATGATATGTCCATAAGGACCCTCACTTGCTTTTACAGATGCACCATAGAAAGCATTCTATCTGGGTGCATAACGGCGTAGTACAGCAACTGTTCTGTCCAGGACCATAAGAAATTGCAGAAAGTTGTGTGCATGGCCCAGACCATCATAGAAGCCAACCTCCCATCCATGGACCCCATTTACACTTCTTGTTGCCACAGAAAGGCAGCCAACATCAAAGACCTCTCCCAGCCCGGCTTAATACTCTCTTCCAACCCCTTCCGTCAGGCAGAAGATACAAGCCTTAACACAGGTTTAAGAACAGCTTCTTCCCTGCTGTTTTCAGGCTGCTGAATGGACCTCTAATTTCAAATCTAATGTTGATCTTGCATTGTGCACATTCTGTGCGGTGTAACCTTGTATGTCTCACTCTGTCTAAGCACCCTATGATCAGCCTGTACTGCTCGCAAAACAAAGCTTTTCACTGTACTTCGGTACGTGTGACAACAATAAAACAAATCAAAGGAAGTGGTGGATGCAGGAACAGTTCCAACGTTTAAAAGATGTTTGGATAGGTTCATGAATGGGAAAGGTTTGGAGGTACATGGTCAAACACAGGCAAGCAAGACTAGCTTGGGAACATGGTTGGTATGAATTAGTTAGACCGGAGGGTCTGTTTCCATGCTATATGAATCAGAGTTCCAAAGCCAAGCAGTGCCCATTGACTGTTGTCACAATCACTGTACACAATACACATTGCCACCTCGTGTACATTTATTAAACAGGACAAGTTTAACTCACCTCAGCACCCCTGACAATAGAACTGAAGGGCACAATACCATGAAGGGTGAAATTCTGAATAAGTTAGAGGTCGACTCTGTTCCTCTCTCCATGGATACTGTCACACAGGCTGAGTGTTGCCAGCACTTTGTATTTATTACTGCATTTAAGTATTTGGGGAAATGGTGGCTGTAAATACAAAGTGAGGTTGAAACAATTCTCCAAGGTTGAGGCAGCTTTACTTCCAGTTTAAAAGATAGAGGGAGGTTTATTGTGTATCTACCCTGTGGGGATAACGTTAATGAAGCTTTACTTTGTATCGAATTCTGAGCTACAGCGGTTCTGGGAGTGAGACGGATATGACATAGAGACAGCTTTACTCTGTACATAGTCTGGGCAGTATTCGATGGCTATGCAATCAGGAAACTATAACTCAGACAAAAGAAGCAGTAACTTGCTTCCCACTTTCGTCTACTCACTGGAGTTTAGAAGAATGAGAGGTAATCTCAGTGAAATATATAGGATTCTTAAGGGGTTTGATAGGTTGAATACTGAGAGGATGTTTCCCCTCTTCGGAAAGAGTAGCACCACAGGGCACAGTCTCTGAATAAAGGGGCACCAATTTAAGACTGAAATGAGGGTGAATTTCTTCTCTCAAAGTGTTGAGAGTATTTGGAGCTCCTTGCCACAGTGGGTACACAGTCCTTGTGTATATTTAAAGTTGAAAGAGAGAGAGATTCTTGATCAGTAGGGAAAAGCCAGGAAAGTGAACATGAGGAATGTCAGATCAGCCATGATCCTACTGAATGATAGAGCAGGCTGAAGGGGCCAGATGGCCTAATCTTGTTCTCATTTCTATAGGCCTTAAATATTCCTAGTCGGTCACTCTGCAATTCAGTGCAAACTGAAAACAACATAATCATTACCCAAGACTGTTGTGCATTGTCATCATGAGCTTGCAACACCTTTGGAAGGGGGTGGTTCAGGTGAGGGCAGGCTTGAATAGTTACATGAATTGCCTCAACTGCACTTATTGGAAATATAGAACAGGGAGAGCCACAAATGTCCAAACTTGCTTTATATTCAGAGCACTAAGGAGATATACAACATCACAAGCATAGAATATCCTTAAGTGCTTTACAGCCAATTAGTCTTGTTTGTAATTTATGACACATAAGTAGTGCACAGCAAGCTCCCACAGACAGCAACACGATGATGACAGGATTATCCATTTCAGCGGCATTGAGTGGTAATTGTTGACTCGGAGAGGCCCAGGACTACTCTTCCCCCACCTCCCTGCTACACAGCACTCTTGTTCAAATAGTATCCCTGGGATTTTTAACATCAGCTCAAAGGGGGCCTCTGTTTCACACCTTGTGAAAGCTGCAGGACCTATACTAATGTGGGTCACCCACAGTACCGCAGTGGGGTGTCAGTTTCGCTCTGGAGCGAGGCTAGGATAAACATTCAGACTTGGGGACCGAGGAGCCAACGGAAATACATTGGCAGGTACGGGAAATGCATTGGCTCTGCTTGAGAGTCGAGAAGTAACACGAGTAAATGGGAGACATCAGGAGCAACTGTCCACTAGTCCAATAAATAAGAGTTTAAAATAAATACTTGGGAGTGATTACAAGGTTGGTAAATGCCCTTCAGCATAACAGTTCCTCCTGTTTCCATGGTGAGATTGTGGTCTTAATACCTTCTACACACAATTCAAACAAAATCACAGCACATGTACTGAATTCATAACTCGAATTAATTTCACTCCAAATAAAATTATTTTATCCGAAAACATTGCAAATAAAAAGAGCAGTCCTTTGCTTAGCATCCAAGAAATATTTTGATGGTTTTGAATACACGAGCGAGTTTCTCCAGAGATATTTGTCCCAATCCTCCGCCTATTGTAAACACACAGAGCCACGGCCTGCTACTTAGGAAGCGTGTGGAAGACCTTGATGTGAATGGCAGAGTTGTTTCTGGTGCGGGTGAGGGGCTCACCCTCGTCCACTTCCGGCTCCAGGTCGTCCACCAGCTCGACGGTCGAGGTGTTGGCCGCAATCTGCAGACTCCCAAAGCTGCCCCCCTGAAGCTGCAGGGCGATGTTGATGGCGCGGTTGATGGCGAGCCCCAGGCCATGGATGCAGATCTCACTGAAGCAGCCACTGTCCAGCATCTTCTGACAGCGGGCCAGCTGCGCCTTGAAGTCCGTCTTCATGTTGACGTAGATGTCGTTCTTGCGTTTCGGGAGTTTGCGCGGCAGCCTCTTACGCAGCGTATATTCCACCTGATCCATGTCCATCCCCCCCTCTGACACTGGTGCCATGGGTTGGTTTTCAGCCATGCTCACTGGAGGGGTGCAAAGGTAGGAAGGGGAGAGATTGAATGATACTGTATGACATGGGAATGCTTTATACTGTACAAACAGGAGATGGTGGTTTGGTGGTAGTGTTGCTGGACTAGCAATCCTGGAACCCAAGCTAATGCCCCAGGCACATGTGACAAATCGCACCATTAGCATCTAATCCAATTTAAATTCAAGTTAACAAATCTGGAATCTAAAACTATGCTCAGTGATGGCAATCATGAACACTCATCAATTGTCAGAAAAGATTTAAAAAAGATATGAGGAGCAATTTTTTTTTAACGCAGTGGTTCGTGTGTGGACTGAACTTCCAGGGAAGTGGTGGATGCGGGTACAGTTACTACATTTAAAAGACATTTAGATAAATACATGAATCAGAAACATTTGGAGGGATATGGGCCAAGCACAGGCAGGTGGGACTATTTAGTTTGGGATTATGGTCGACATGGACTGATTGGATCAAAGGATCTGTTTCCATGCCGTATAAAACTCAATAAAATCCCATCTGATTCACCGATACTAATTGTCTTTAGTGAAGGAAATCTGAAATTGTTACCCAGTTGACTTACTCTAGACCTATGCAATGTGGTTGACTCTTAATTATCCTCTGAAATAGCCAAGCAAGCTAGTTCTAGGGCAATTAGGGATGGGCAATAAATGCTGGGCCTTGCCAGCAATAACTACATTTTATGAAAGAATTAAGAAAAGTAAAACTGACAAAGGTATTTAAGAATATCCTGAGTGTGCCAGACCAAAGAATAATTTAATAATGAAGGTGGGTGAAGGTGCTGATGTGTTAAAATGCCAAAGTCTGATATTTGGTTTTCTCACGAACTGAGATAGCTGTGTGGGTTAGTGGGTGGGTTAAAGCCCTCAGCCCTCTCGATAGGGGACAGAAGGCAACCAAGCAATTCTCCTCTTTGTCCAGCCTTGCAAGGTGCACCTAGAATGGTGATACCATCTAGGACCAAACAGCTGGAACCCACCACCCTGGAATATGCCTCCGAGGGTCAATTACCCTGATTTGCCAGACCAGATCATGACACGTTCGCGGGCGAACAGCTGGCACTCATCACCCTGGACTGAGAGTCCTCTCCACTTACCAAAAGCTGAGATTCACCATCCAAGAATGGTGAGGCCCTCTCGAGTCAAACAGCCAGCGTTCCCCACACAAGAACAGTGATACCTCCTGGGGTCAAATAGCTGCCAATCAGCATCTCAGAATGATGATGCCTCCTAGGGCCAAACAGCCAGCTCTCAACACGTGGGAATAGTGATGCCTCCCAGGGCCAAACAGCCAGCCCTCAGCACGCAGGAATGGTGATGCCTCCT